TACTCCTCTGCTATCCTTGGATTCTCTTGTAAGCAGACTCTGGAAGTTTATTGGGAGAATACTCTTGGGACCAACAGTGTGACGGAATGAAGGAAACTGGACTAAAAGAGAAGTTGAATTGGGCTGAGATGCATACTCAACAAAGGATTTAGCTAATTCTATAGAAAGCTTTGAATATTTGTTGGTCTTTTATGGTTGTCTTAAATTGGCCCGTTGTATCAACTATTGGGTGTAGGCTCCCCTTAGGAAGAGACAAGATCTTAGGCAGAAAGCTGAGAGAAGAAGACAGCTATCCATTACCAATAAAAGAAAAGGGGAATGACCTAAACTGGTGATCTGGACAGAGAACTTCGTTTTATAAGTTGACTAGGGGCCCAGTGCACCAATTCATGCACCTTGAAAGGAACTGTGGCTATTCAACCCCCTACCTCTGGCACACACTGCTCTTTTATTATATCTATAGTCTTACCCTTTCCAGAAAATCACATAGTTAAAATCCTACACTTTTAAACTTAGCAAGATGCATTAGTTTCTCCATGTCTTTTCACAGCTTGATAGCTCATATATATATATTTTTAGTTCATCCCATTGTATGGTTATATAACAGTGTGTTTATCCTTTCACCTTTTGAAAGATATTCTGGTGTTTTTCTGGTTTTTGGTGATTATGAATAAAGATGTTGTGAACATTTGTGTGCAGGTTTCTGTGTGGACATAAATTTTTAACTCAATTGAGTATATATCTACCTCTGGGTCATATGGTAAAATTATATTTATTTAGCTTTAGGTAAGGTCATTTTGCATTCCTACCAGCAGTAAATAGCATTTGATGTTGTCAATGTTCTGGATACTAGGCATTCTAATAAGGTATGTAGTAGTATCTTGTTTTAATTTTCATTTCCCTAATGATAAGTCAGGTTGAATATCTTTTCATATGCTAATTTGCCATCTTATATCTTCAAATCTTTTTGCTGTGTATTCAAATCTTTTACTCATTTTTAAATTGGGTTGTTTTCTTTTTGTTGAGTTTTTAAAACACTGTATATTTTAGATACAAGTTCTTTACCAGATATATTTTGCAAATAAAGTTTAATTTAAAATAAAGTTCAGTTTTTCTTTCATGGATATCACTTTTGGTGTTGTATGTAAAAGTTTATTGCTAATGTTTCTCCTACTTATCTTCTAGAAAGTCTATTATTTAGTACTAGAGGCCCGGTGCATGAAATTCATGCACGGATGGGGGGGGGGTGTCCCTTCAGCACAGCCTGCACCCTCTCCAATCTGGGACCCTTTGGAGGATGTCCCACTGCCGGGGATCAAGCCTAAACTAGCAGTTGGACATCCCTCTCACAATCCTGGACTGTTGGCTCCTAATCACTCACTTACCTGCTTACCTGATTGCCCCTAACAGCCCATTCCCCCTCCATCCCACCCCCTGTCGGCCTGATTGCCCCTCATTGCCTATTTGTGCCAGCCTGATTGCCCCTAACTGCCCTCCCCCATTACCAGCATGGTTGCCCCAATTGCCCCCTCCCTGCTGGCCTGGTTCTCCTAACTGCCCCCGCCTCCCCGTCGGCCTAGTTGCCCCTCACTGGCCCAGCCTAATCACTCCCAACTACCCTCCTGCTGGCCTTGTCACCTCACGCAGCCTGCTTGTCCAGTCGTTTGGTGTCCCTCACTAACCCTCCTGCTGACCTGGTCATAGGCAGCCAACTTGTAAGGCTGTGAGGGTTAATTTGCATATTACCTCTTTATTATATAGGATTGTATATTTTGGTTTACAATCACTTTGAGTTAACTTTTGTGAAAGGTATAAGGACTGTGTCTAGATTCTTTTCTTTTCTTTCTTTCTTTTTTTTTTTTTTTTTAACATATGTTTGCTTGTTCTAGTACCATTTGTTGAAGAGACTTTCTTTTCATTGAATTGCTTTTAATCCTTTGTCAAATTTCAGTTGATTATATTTATGTGGGTCTATTTCTGAGCTCTCTGTTCTATTCCATTGATTAATTTGTCGGTTCTTTTACCAATATCATGCTACCTAGATTACTGTAGCTTTATAATAAGTCTCATGGAGATACTTACATTTATGCCTAAGTATTCTGTATTTTTGCTGCTGATGTAAATGATACTGTGTTTTTAGTTTTAAATTCCAAGTTTTCATTACTGGTGTATAGGAATACAATAACTTTTGTATCCTGATACTTTGCTATAATCACATTTTAATTTTATAAGTTTGCTTTTGGTAGTGGTTATTGAATTTTAAAGATTTTTTTCATAGACAATCATATTACCTGCTAATGAAGAGTTTTATTTATTTCTTACTAGTTTGTTTAGCTGACTCTTGTCTTAATGCTTAAGCTAGGATCTATAGTAACATGTTTAATAGGAGTGGTAAAAGGCAGCCTCCTTACCTTGTTCTTAATTTTAGGGGGAAAGCATCTTAATTCTCACCATTAAGTCTGAGGTTAGCTATAGGTATTTTGTAGATATTCTTTATGAAGTCTAAGAAATTTCCTTCTATTCCTAGTTTGATGAACTCATTAGGTGTTGGATTTTCTCCATCTGCTTATATGGTCTTTTCTTCTTTAGTGATGGATTACATTAATTGGTTTTTGAATGTTGAACTAGCTTTGCATAACTGAAATATATCCCACTTGGTCATGGTGCATATAATTCTTTATATACATTGTTAATTTTTTTTTCCCTTTCAACCATTTTATTTTTATACCTAGAAATTTTATTTTAATGTTTTATATTTTCTACTTCATTCCTCATCATGATTATTTTTCCTTAAAATCCTTTAAATCATACAGACATTATCTGTAATATCTGTAATTTGTAATAATATTTGTAATAACTGTTTTAAGGCTTTTTATTTCTGAGTTTGTTTATGTCGACTCTCTTCTGATGTGGATCACATTTTGCCTTTTCACATGTCTCTTAATTTTTTATTGGATTGTAAACATTGTGAATGTTTGGATTTTGTTATTTTTGTTTAAAGGATGTTGAAGTTTATTTTGTTTGATAGATAAAATAATTAATGTTCAGATTAATATATTTTAAGCTTTTCCTTATGTATTTATTTATTATTTATTTATAACTTTCTCGGGCAATTCTAGCATAGCGTTTTCTGGCATTCTGATTCAACAAGTATATCTTTGTCCATATTTCTCTACTTTCTATGATTTTATCTTTGAGTTCATAATTTCTATTTCATTATAGAACTAAGATTTTTTTTTTTTTTAGTAAAATATAAACACCTGATATTTTAGGCAGAAGAGAGAGGTAAAGCTAAGTATATTGTTAAAGAATTTCACTGACCACTGTATAGTTTAATGGGACCACCTATAGTGATGAGGAGTTCTGTTAGGGGGCTACTACAGGAGTCCTAGGAAGAGATAATGCCAATTTGCTTACTGGCAATTGTGATAATGGAGATAAAAGTGTGATCATTTTCTAATTACAAACAAAAATGACATTTTTCTTGAGGAAGTTTAATGAACACCATCTTAACCAAATATAACTTCATCAGGGAAAGTACAAATGGATTTTCTTTTCTTTTTATGGCTCTCTGATGTGATGTGAGAATGAAGGTATATTAATTTTTTTGGCTTTCTAGAATATGCTTTTCCTAATTCCTTTTATCTTCCTGTGATTCTTTTATCTTCTGAATTCCTAATGATAGAATTATTTGGGTACTTTTCCTCATCCTAGAATATAAAGCTCCCAATATGAAAACTGTATGTTAATCTTTTTTCTTCTTACTACACTCAACATTGCTTTTTAAATGGTACTCCCTCATAAAGCTATAACCTACATCAGAATTTTAAAATCGAATTAACCAACATCAGAATTTTAAAAATTGAGTTAATTATGAAACATTTAGGAAGCAAGTGCTTTTTTAACTAAGTTGAAGTTAAGAGTGTTTTTTATGGTTTAGAGGTCAAAGGTTTATGACCTTTGGCCCTCTCTTCCCTTTCCCTCTAAGATCCTATAGAGAGAGTTCAGTGCTCTTAGAGCATCACAGATCAGGAAGAGTCCTTTAAAGGCTCACTACTGACCTCTTCTTTTTTCAGAAACAATCCTAAACAAGTGGCCTCAGACATGAATATCTCCATCTTATTTTTCAAAAAACTTCTAAACAAGACTTTATAACTTCGCTTGATAAATTGTTATAGATGACTCGTGTTGTCAAAAATTTCACTTTGTAATAACTAGTCTAAATATTAAATCTTGCTAACTAACAACAATTTTATGATTTTATTTTTTCTTGTAAAACTATACCTGGAAATGCCCTTTGTTTGGACCTTATGTTGTATTTTAATAATTTCCACCAGTCTAGGCATTCCCTAGAATGAATGGATTTAGCTCAATAGCTTCTCCATTGATGTTAGCAAGATCTGGAACTTTTGTAATATAATAGTCAGGGCTTAATTTTTCCCAAAACCATCATGACAATTCTTGCTGGTAAAAGCTGCAGGGTTTCCTGTGACTTTTCAGATAAAAATACCTCAACCACTATAAATCATTACTTTTGAAACAAGGGAATTTAGTTTGTTATGCATCCAAACAGCAGTTTTGGGGAATCATATGAATATGTGTGTGTGTGTACTTGTGTGTTTCCTTAATGCTATATGAGTTGCTTCACATATCTTTGGTTGGTTAATACTATATTTACTCCCAGTTTTGGAATTCATTGTCAAATAATTTATGTTTTCTTAGCTTTTGATTTCATTATTGGTGAAAATGTTATATTTATTGATAGTCTCTCTCTTTTTTATTTTTTTATTTTATTTTTTTAGTCTCTTTTTTAAATGAACACACTCATTAAAAATATATGCAAGATCATTATACGGTGTTATATTTCTGACTCTAAAGAAAGGAACTTTTAAATAAATTAGTTATTGTCTCCTGCGATATTGAACATGTGGTCAGTTGTCATGTTCCTGCATCCAAATGATCAAAGTCTGAACTTCTGTCTAATTCTTCCCTGCTGTTAGGCTACCCTGTCATGATCAAGGCCTCAGCAGGTGGTGGTGGGAAAGGCATGCGAATCGCTTGGGATGATGAAGAGACCAGGTGAGATGCTGTCCAAAATATACTTTTGATGAAAATTACAGTTACTAGAGTTTTATTAAACCGTCTATTAAACAAATATCAAAAACATAATGGAGTAATTATAATCACCATCTAATTTTTGCTCTTTTCCCAATTTTAGATGGGAAAAATTGGAATAATGCAGAAACTTCCTTACTTATATTTTCATAATGATTACTCTATTATAGACAGGTTTTTACTTTATTAAACATCAACAAAGGATTACCTTTTAATTTTTACAGTCTACTTTTAAAATTTACAGTTATGATTCTATTTTCTAGGCAAAAGTTACTAACATTTGATCGTGTAATTCTAAGTGCAGCCAAATATTTAAACCATATATTTAAAAGGTGTCATGATTTCATTTGTTTATTACTCAGTATGTACTTGCTTTCATTTCCTTGTTTATAAAAGTAGTAAAATACTTCTATACTTCTATAGCGTAAAATATATTTCTTTTTGGATTTGAAATTACTGTATGTCCATTTTATAGTGCACTCCATTGTAAATTTATGACATTTTAATTAGTAGTTCAGAAATTAAAAGTATCTTTTAAAACAGTAATTAAAAAACCCAAAGCATTGATTATACAAAATAATTTTTTGAAAAACTGTCTAATTTGAGCAGGTTTTAGGGGACTCTTCAGATTTGTAGTCTTATTTATTTTCAGGATTGGTAGTAAGAGAGATTGATGTCATTTTTTGGAGAGGGGTAAAAAAAAAATCACTCAATAATTATTGTTGCATTTTCTACCCTTTATCCAGAAGTAAATTGGCCTTCCAAGCTGTTAATTTTGCTTTCTCCCTTTCTTTCTCTTTTCCTTCCCATTCCACAAAATCTCTACAAGACAACAATCTGGAGTAGTTGGTATGAAAGTTATCCAATACAACATTAAGCCAGAAATTAAGTTCTAAAGTGAACAAGGAGGCAATATATTAGCCATTAAAATCTTTTGGGACGACCGCCACATTGTGGACTTAAACAGATAGTTTTAATGCTAAAAGAAAAATGTCTTAGAACACCATTGTGTCTTTGGTTAAGTGTCAGAAAGTAATTGGCTTGTGATGTTGAGTGATGATATATGACAAATGCAGGTCTTTAAGCCTCAGTCTCACTCTCAGAGTGTCACTGATACCTGATATTGACTGAGGTAATATCAGATTCTCCTCTCCCACCTTAAGCTTACCCAGCAAGAATAAACTCATTGCATGGATGGCAGTATTTGTCGAGAGTCTACTGTTTTTTTAATAACATTCTAGGAATACAGCAATGAACAGAAACAAAATAATTCCTTCACACAGTTTATACACTAGCTCAGGAGTTCTTAACCTTTGAATTCAAAGTCCCATAGAATTCAGGAACTGTTCGTGCAGCTGGATGAGTTTATAAAAGCACATATTTCTTTCATTATCATCTAATGGCAGTTTAGTGTTTCCTCCAATATATTCAAACTTTAATAGTAGTAGTAGTATATCTGGAGCTTTTCACCATTTAGGAAATCACATCTTAACACATTACAGTTATAGATATTTCTAGGTTCTACTGATTATTAGACTTGTTGGAGCTTATTGATGAATAAAGAGCCATATACATTATATCCCAAAATTGTTTAAAAAAATTTTTTGGGGGGTTTTTATTTTTTTTTATTTTAAAGGAATATTTAATATTAACATTGTGAGTTATTATCTTTTGCATATCATCAAAAAAAATAAAAAAATATTTTTTTTAAAAAAGACTGAAGACAGGACCTCTTTTCCACTATTTCGAATACTTAAAAATATTTTGATACCTGTATTTTAATATAATTTATTTTCTATGCAATTCTGTTCATTTTCTATGTGTTTTAAATCACTTGAAGCCTTGTTTTGACAGAAAGTTCATTTGCTGCATGATTCTGCAAAAGGGTCATGGCATAAACAAGGTTGCAGAAAGCCTTGTACTGATAGGAAGAGATAAACAATAAGCAAATTCAAAGTAAATCACATACTATTGTGAATTCTAAATTCAGTCTGAGGGCCAACACTATCCATTGAGCCAGAGTAGCTAGGGCCATGCTGCTCTATATTCTGGAAAAATAAAACCTATGCAAAATTTGAGAGAATAGTCCAAAAATCCCCATGTATTTATCTTCTACAGCCACCAGCTATTAATATCATGCTGCATTGCACATCTATTCCCTGTCTATATGGTTGTGAGGGAGGCAATTGTGTTTAAAGGTATATTTAAAGAATCAGGAAATGTTCTTGAGGAGCCTCCTGTTGGCTGTAGTTCTGCTCCAGCTGTGCAGTTGGCCAGGTCATTTACATTTTTGTGTGCATCTGACTATTGAGTCTAATGGATATGTACTTTTATATTTTTTATAGTGAAATCATGGTATACTTGAGGCCTGGTACATGAATTCATGCATGGGTGAGGTCTGGCCAGCCCGCCCCATCAGGGCCAAGGGGGACGGGGGGCGACTGGGGAAAGGCTTTATATGGTTGACTGGCTGTCCCTGTCCCCTGGTCGAACGGACAAATTGCATATTAGCCTTTTATTATATAGGAATAAGGTTGAAGAAATGAAACTTTATATGATTGATATGGTTTATTAAAATCTCAGGTTTAACTGTTGGTGAAATAATTACCAGTATTCCTGTTTAGATATAAAATCTAAGATCAGGGAAGTTAAATCAATCACCCAAGGTCATAGAGCTAGTAAGATGAAGAGCTGTGGTTCAACCAAAGTTAACTTAGTTATTTGTTTACTAAGTGAGTTTTCCTGCTTATGTAAGCCAAAATAAGTATTTAATTATTTTTCTTTTATATTAAGGGCTATATTTTTTTGTTTGTGTGCTTGACTATTCTGTTTTCCTTTACAGGGATGGCTTTAGGTTTTCATCTCAAGAAGCTGCTTCTAGTTTTGGTGATGATAGGCTACTAATAGAAAAATTTATTGATAACCCTCGTCATATAGAAATTCAGGTTGGTACATTTTAAGATAATTTCTAATTATTATGACTTTAAATATGTAATTTATTCCTATTAGAAACATATCCTTTCTTCCAGTTAGAATGATTGTGAATTGTTCTGATATGTTGGAATAAGTATGAAATAAAGTACATAAATTGATAATCTACCTTTGGAATCTGCTATGCTTTTGTCAAAGTGCCAAAATGTCAGAATGTGGAATGATATAAAAGCCCAGCTCCAGAAAGAAGCTGTCCCAAGATCTCTGGGCAGGCAAATGTATTACACTTAGAGTCTCATTTGATTGTCTGAGATTGGGCTATTTTAGGGCATTTTAAAAAGAAAAGTGCCTGACCTAGACTTTTGTATCATTTCAATTGACCAGATGTCTATGTGGCTCACTGTGACAGTAGGCATTCTAGTAGGAGTTAGTTGTATAGAGATGAGGGAATCAAATTTGCTACTTCAATTAAGATTTTATTGGAACTGTTAAAGTGGTTGTAAGAGTTGGTTGCAAAAACAAAATGTGTTTTTTTTTTTTAATTAAACATAGAAGAAAAAGAAGACAATCCCACTCCTGAAAGTAATAGGTATTCTAACATCTCATACTATAGATTATTTTTGTTTGTTCTTAAACTTTATATAAATGGAATCAGGCAATACATACTTGGTTATGCCTGGCTTCTTTTGCACATCATCATTCTTTAAGATTCTTCCATGAGGCTATTTTATCATTCATTTTTTAAAAATTGCTCTGTGCTATACTATTGTTTGAATAACCTGTAATTTACCCATTTTCATATTGGTATATCATGTTTTTTCTAGTTTTTTAATATTATGAATAAAATGCTATGGTTTTTTTTATGGACATATACATTCTTCTTTGGATATACTAAAGAGAGGCATTGTTGGATTACATGGTAAGGTTATGCTTAGTTCTAGTAGATACTGTGGTTGTCCTAATGTATACTCCACAGCAATATACAGTATGAAAGTTTCCATTGCTGCTATCCTTTCTAACACTTGGTATTCTCAAATTTTTAGATATTTAGCCATTTTGTCAGACATGTAGCAGTCTGTTTTAATTTGCATTTGCCTGATAATGACTGATATTGAGCACCTTGTTATGACTATATGACCAAGTGGATATCTTATTTTGTGAAGTTACTGCTCAAGTCTCATACTTGCCGCTCCCCCCTTTAAATTAGATTTTTAAAAATTACTGAACGGTTAGAACTATTTATCTTTTTTATTTGAGTCTTTTGCCGGTTACATGTATTGTGTATGTCTTCTGGACAGAATCATTTTTGTGACACTTTTCAAGTTAGTTGTTTGCCTAGAACATTGCCATATGGGATTGTGCAGGATGTGCATATTGTGTTGTGGGCCATCTTTGGATATTAGCTACCACAATTTATTCTCTTACACTCAATGATCGTGTGCCTTCCATAAGCAGAATTCACCCACTTTCCTTCCAAGACCAAGATCTTGTCTATAGACTTGGTCCAGGTCTGGCTGAGACTTCTTGTATATAGTTCCTTAAGAGCAGTTCTTCTGGTGGGAGAACCTCTGAATTTAAAGACAGCCTGTGACACCTACTCATCCAACATATAGCGATGAGAAAAGGATACACACTGCAATAAAATACCACCATTCACCAAGAGAGTAAAAACTGAGAACCAGCAATTAAAGCTGAGAGATTTCTTAAAGAGGTTCTTGTGGTAATTTTAGATGTACTTACTGCAACTATCTTTTAGAACCATAGAAATAAAATTCCACCTTGTGGTATTTTATTACTACAGTGTTTTCCTTTTGTTTGAAATCATTCTTGAGGTTTAGATAGATTTTATTTTATAGTTTACTGTATCTGTTATAAAGATGATCTGCTTTTTTGTTTTATTTTTCATTATCCATATGAAATATTAAGATTATATTAGCTGCTATTTATAATGCATGAGGAAACTAAATGACTTATTCAGGGAGATTGCATAGCTGTTTAGAACTAAAATTGGTGCCTAGATTTTTGGTTTGTAAATAATTTTGGTTTGTAAAAAAAAGAATAGCTTTTACTTCTGTTTAATATATGAATTCAGTAATAAGCATTTCCTCTTTAATTCTGAAAAGAGATTATCCCAATCATGAAAATCAAACATTCTATGCAAAAACATTAACAAAGAGTCTGTTTTAGGGTTGCCAAATTTAGCTGATAAGATACATGTTAAATTTAAATTTCTATTAAACAGATTTTTTTTTTTTAAGTACAAGTATGTCCTTTACAATATTTGGAGCACATTTTTATTAATTTTTTCATTGTTGTCAGGAATTAAAATTTCCCCAGGTATACTGTTTTATCTGATATCCCAGCTTATTTTCCATTATTGCAAACTAGAGACCCAGTGCATGAAATTCATGCATTGGTAGGGTCCCTAGTGGCTGGCAGTAGCTGGCCGGGTATTCCCTCCCTTTCCCCAGGTGGCCCTGCCCCCTGGTCAAACTCCCAGGAGAACTCCCTGTCGAGGGGACAATTTGCATCCTACACTTTCATTATATAGGATGGGGAAAATCATTGTATGCTATATATTAACCCCAGACCATTTACTAGTTTCCTATACCAGAAATAAAACACAATAAAAGCATCCATATATAAATAATGGACTTGTATTGGGTATAAATAGAAAAGCATTTCCTGATTAATAGACAGTTAATCCTGTTAACAACAGATGTTTGTAACAACACTCATGGGTCTCCTAAGCACGAGGACATTTAGAATATCTATCCCCTTATTGACACTTGATGTCTTTTACAAAATTTGTATAATTGATGCTAATAGTTTACCCACTGCTTTCAAAATGTAATATGAGTTTTTATTTCAAGTGTTTTTGATTAAAATGTTTTGAGTTTGGGGGTTATAAATATAAAGTTTTTCTCTATTAACATTAACTAAAAGAGGAATGAATATGTTCTATGAGATTTGAGTATTAAAAACCAAGGGGTGTTGCATGGACAAAATGTTAGCAGGACGGAAACATGCTCTATGGGTATGGCTCTATATTTTTTTCAGATGGCATTGCTTTTTCAGGTTTTAGGTGATAAACATGGGAATGCTTTGTGGCTCAATGAAAGAGAATGCTCAATTCAACGAAGGAATCAGAAAGTGGTGGAAGAAGCACCAAGGTAAGTCTCTCTCCATGAGTGTTTATAATAGTCTGCTTTTATATGTTTCCTTTTCATTTTATTGGCTAAACTTGCTTTAGTAGTCATAGCAAAAACTATATTTTTATAATTAAGACTTTGCCACTTGATCTTTCTCAGTACTTCAGTGCATGAAAGTAAGAGACTTGAAATATAAGTTGGGGCTTTATTAGAGATGGAAGTTGGTTGGATAACCAGCTGTGATGCCCACAGGCTTATAGGGAATATAGACCCTGTGGGTATTTCTGGGCATGTGGAATTTCTGGGGTACATGCCTTGTAGGCTCTCCTGTTGATGGTGGTTTGACAAAGTTGATATTTTATTAAGTTGTACACTTGAAACCTGTATGGTTTTGCAAAGCAATGTCACCCCAATAAATTTAATTAAAAAATAAACAAATCACCAAAAAATTGTATCTATCAAAGGGATAAAAAAAATTAGGTTGATCCAGAATTTCTTGAATTTATCCTACCATGAAAAGGCTCCTGGGCATGGTTCTTAGAAATTTCATAATTTATCAGAACTACTTTGGACACTTTTCAAAGCCACCTTTCATGGAACTTCATTTTCAATTTGGTGCCAGGTTGGTATTTCTATATATTCTGGTGTTACTTTAGTTAGTGTCCATTGCCATTTTTAATAACCACGCTCTAAGGAATATAGCCAATTGTGGCTTTGATCAGCCTAATCAGTGTGACTTGATATAAAGGGTGTATAGTTTCTGAAAAGAGTAAGTATGAATATGAATGAATTTTTAATCACAGAGTAATGGTAAAAATCAAATTCTACTTTAATTATATTAGTTGTTAAAATATGGTATTTTAAAATAGAGTCCCAAATCCTTTGCTCCTTCTCTTGTTGAGGAATTGAGAGCATCAATGTTCCCTCCCCTTGATTCTGTGCTCTGTGACTATTTGACCAATCATATATATTAAAAGAGTAATATGCAAATTGACCATCATGCCAAGACACAAGATGGCCACCCCCATGTCATCAAAGATGGCTGCCCTCATGTGGACACAAGATGGCTGCCACAAGATGATGGCCTGCAGGGGAAAACAGATGCAGGAAGTTAGGGGTGACCAGGCCAGCAGAGGAGGACAGTTGGGGGTGACCAGGTCAGCAGGGGAGGACAGTTGGGAGGACCACCAGGACTGCAGAGGAGGGTATTTGGGGAGGGCCAGACCTGCAGGGGGGACCAGTCCTGAAAGGAAGGGTAGTAGGGAGGGAACCAGGCCTGCAGAGAGGGCAGTTGTGGGCCATCAGGCTAGCAGGGAGGGCAGTTAGGGGTGACTGGACCAGCAGAGGAGGGCAGTTGGAGGAGACTAGGCCAGCAGGGGAGGGCAGTTGGGCAGGGCCAGGCCTGTAGGGGTGGGCAGTTGGGGGCAACCAGGCCTGCAGGAGAGGACAGTTAGGGGTGATGAGTCTGGCAGGGGAGGGCAATTAGAGATGTCCAGGCCAGCAGGGAGGGCAATTAGGGGCATTGGGGCCAGCCAGGGAGCAGTTAGGTGTCAATCAGGCTGGCAAGGGAGTGCTTAGGGGGTGATCAGGCTGGAGACACCCTTACGGAGGCTCAACCAACTGGAAGTCAGTCCTGCAGTCAGCACTGGGTTGCCATGATGACCCAGTACTGACTGCTCTGGCTGCAGGCATGGTGACCCAGCACTGACTGATGAAGTGGCTGTGAATCAGGCACAGAGAGAGGCCTAAAGAGAAAACCAAGGTCTGATCTATAGCCTCTGTGGCAGCCATTGATCAGCACTTGCCTCTCTCTCTCTCTCTGGACCTGGCTAGCAGCCGTGCCTCCATTTCTTTTCAGGCCTCCACCGGGGCTGTTGATTAGCCCTGCCTTTGTGATTACGCCCTGTTGATAGGCCCAGATACATTGACTGGCATACAAACCAATTAATCAGAACCAAATCTGGGTGAGGTGTGAGGAGCCAATGGTTGCCTAGGAGGCGGAGCTTTTGACGCTGACTGGCATAGAAACTGACCAATCAGAACCAGATCTGGGTGAACTAGGAGGAGCCATTGGCTGCCTAGGAGGCAGAGCTTTTGACGCTGACTGGCACAGAAACTGATCAATCAGAACCAAATTGGCTGGCAGGGGAGGGCAGTTGGGAGCAAGATTAGGCGGAGGGGAGGCAATTGGGGGTGAGATCAGACTGGCAGGGGACAGCAGTTGGGGGCAATCAGGCCAGCTGGGGAGCAGTTAGATGTTAATCAGGCTGGCAGGGGAGTGGTTAGGGGCAATCAGGCAAGCAGGCAGGTGAGTGGTTAGGAGCCAGCAGTCCTGGATTGTCAGAGGGATGTCTGACAGGGATTGGGCCTAAACTGACAGTCAGCCCCTGAAGAGTCCCAGATTGGAGAGGGTGCAGGCTGGACTGAGGGGACCTCCTGCACCCCTCCCCCCATGCATGAATTTCATGCACCAGGCCTCTAGTATAAGTTATATGTGAAGCATATCATATGAAATCTTAAATTGATACAGATGATCAGATCTGTGTAAAATTTAAGGACTTTTTTTTTATATAATTACACAAAAGATAACTTTATTTTTGTTTAAAACGTTTCACTCTTTCTGTACTTGCAGCATTTTTCTGGATTCTGAGACTCGGAGAGCAATGGGAGAGCAAGCTGTAGCTCTTGCCAAAGCAGTCAAGTATTCTTCTGCTGGAACTGTAGAGTTCCTTGTGGACTCAAAGAAGAATTTTTATTTCTTGGAAATGAATACCAGACTCCAGGTAACAAAAACTCAGTTTCTTATTCCTTTCCATGCCTCTATACTTAAACCTTCCTTGCTTACCCCTTTTTGAATTTTATAAAAGTTAAAATTCAACTTCAGAAAATGTTAATGACTTAATTTTTATGCTTTGCTAAGACATCTGTTAGGAATGATGGACAATGTCAAGTTAATTTGGTGGCCAGGATCTAGCCTTCTGTTTTGTTACTGTTAATACTTCATATGGGAAATTCTACTTTAAAAAAATTTTTTTTTATTGAACCTCTCTCAATGAACTACTCTAGATATGATAAATAGAAAGGGATTCAGTACTTACACATCTTTGGAAGGGATTAATGAAAAAAGGGCACCTAGAATGAGCTTCTAGAAATGACTCTCAGAACTACACCACCAACCTGGCTTCCAGAACAGCCATTTCTGCCAGTTACAAGGTTGAGAAATCGAGTGGCTGTCCCTGCAGCTGTTGACTTTAGGGATATAACTTCCTTCTGACTTGATTTTTCTTTACACTTTCCCTTTTCTTTTATTTAAATTGTGAACTATAAATAAACATAGAGAAAGGTGTCTAAAACACAAACAAATAGTTAAACAAATTATTATAAATAAAAATCCATGTGAGCATTATATGGGTCTAGAAGTATGAAATTGTCAGCACTTTGGCCTTGCTTCCATCCCTTCCCCCCCCTTCTCAGCTCTTCCTCCTTTTCCTTTCCTGGAGCTGTGTACTATTCTGACCTTATTCTAAATACCTCCCTGCATTTCTCTCTAGTTCTTCCTTTGAAATGCAGACACCTAAGTAGTTTAAGTAATTTTGCCTGTTTCTTTCTTTCTTTTCTATTTTTAACTTTAAATCAGTGGGATCAAATATTACATAATTTTTTTGTACCTGGCTTCTTTTCTCAATATTACGCTTGGGAGAATCAAACTTGTTTTACGTAACACCCAAGTGATACTCCTCTGAAGAAAATGCTACTATTTATCTCTTTTACTTCTTTTGCTTGTGGGTATTTAGTTTGTTTCCAGTTTTTTTGCAGTTTGTATTAGTTTGCTAGGGCTCTAGTAACAAAGTATCAGAAACAGGGTGGCTGAAACAATAGAAATATACTTTCTCAAGTTTCAGGAGGCCAGAAGTCTGAAATCAAGGTGTTGGTTTCTTCCTGGAAGCTCTCAGGAAGAATCTGTTCTCTGCTTCTCTCCTAGCTTTTGGTAGCTGCCAACAAACTTTGGCATCCCTTGCCTTGTTGGCAGCATAACTCCAACCATCACATGGCATTATCCCTTGTGTTTCTATGTCCAAAGACCACCCCCCCTTCCCCTTTTTTAATAAGGACACTAGTCATTGATTTAGGTCTCACTGGAATCCAGTATGACCTCATTCTAACTTCATTACATCTGCCAAGACCCTATTTCCAGATAAGGTCACATTCATAGGTTCTGAGCAGACAAACATTTTCAGGAGACACTACTTAATCCAGTACATAATTCAAAACCACATATGTCAGTAATTCATTGAGCTGTACATACATGTGTTGTATATACTTTTCTCTTTGTATGTTATATTTAACAAAAAGTTTTTAAAGATAAAACACATATGATCTATAGCAGGGATTTTCAATCTTTAAAAAAAAAATTTTTTTTAATCTAGTAGCACATGTAATCTAATTACCAAAATTTTGCCGCACAGCAAAAAATATATATTTTTGCTGATGTAACAAAAAAGGTATAAATTTCATTTATTTAAAAAATAATAATTACCTACCCTTAGTGCTCCAAAGTTACTTTTTAAAAAAATTAGGTGCCTATACTTGTGTATAAGGATTTCTGATACCAAGAATTATTTTACCAGTCAGAGGGAACCTAATTATGTATGTGATCTGACTATTAAGATGGAACTCTGTTATCAGGTCCTATATATTTACTAGAGGCCTGGTGCACGAAATTTATGCATGTGTGTGTGTGGTGTGTGTGTGTGTGTGTGTGTGTGTATACACGTACCATCCTCTGGCCATGGATGCATTCCTCAACCCAGTATTTTTATAGAGGCTTCATCACTTAGGCATAATTGATTATTAACTCATTTTCCAACCCTTTCCCTTTTCTCTGGAGAATCAATGTGGGATGGAAAATTCCAAGCTTTTAATCTTGGCTTAGTTTTTTTAGAGATTAATCTCCATTCAGGAGCTCAAGAATTATCCCATTAGCACTGAAGGTGCTCTGCTCAATCAAGAAATTATAAGAAACTCCATGTCAGGAACCAGGATCAAAGACCAAATATTAGCAGGAACCAGGGACAGAGACCAATATATTCCTTATTTTACAGGTTTGTTTGTGATAAATTCTTTGTTGACAGCTAGTGACTTTATTTTTATACATGAAAGCTGTTTTTACTCTGGGAATTAATTTGTCAGTATTTTGTATCAACTTACTGAAGATATTCTTCTTCTGTCTTTGGTTATATCTGGTGGGACTTCAGCCCTAATTCTACCAACTACTTCTTTGGAGATACTCCTATATAATAAAAGCCTAATATGCAAATTGACTGAATGGCAGAACAAGCAGTCGCTATGACGTGGATTGACCAGCAGGGGGCGTACACAATGCAGGAGCTGCCCTCAGCCTGCAGGCCCCAGGCCAGCCAAGTTGAGCGCCCGCCCCCCCCCTCCATCGCCCTGCCACAGATCGGCCCTGATCGCCATCAAGGCCTAGGACCTCTCCCTGTGCATGAATTTTTTGCACCTGTCCTCTAGTTACTTTTATATTTTAATGGCATTTATGCACTTCTCTTTCTTCTTATGACTTTCTTAAGTTTTTCTTTGATAAATGCACATATGTATTTGGAATTTATTGACTTTCTTGAGTCTATGGATTAATATCTTTCAATATTTTTGGAAAATTCTCTGCCATTATCACTTTTGACATAATCTCTTTTCCTTCCTTATTGATTTCAGCCATTTAGAAAACTTTTATATATATAAAAAACTTTATGTTAGACCTTAATATATCTTTTATGTTTCTTACTCTCTCTTTGATATCTTTCATCTTTTTTTGGACATTTTCTTCTAACCTATCTTTTTTTAGTATCTTTTGAGCTGTACTTAACTACCCATTTAATTTCTAATTTTATTTGTTCATATTTCAGTTCTAGAATTTTTATTTGGTTCTTTAAAAATGATTCAGCTGAAATCGGTTTAGCTCAGTGGTAGAGCGTAGGTCTGCGGACTGAAAGGTCCCAGGTTCGATTCTGGTCAGGGGCATGTACATTGGTTGCGGGCACATCCCCGGCAGGGGGTATGCAGGAGGCAGCTGGTCGATGTTTCTCTCTCATCGACATTTCTAGCTCTCTATTCCTCTCTCCTCCTCTCTGTAAAAAATCAATAAAATATATTAAAAAAAAGATTCAAACTTATCTCTTTTCATCTTCTCACCAAATTTTTAAACTTAGCTTTTATTCCTTTGAACATAATTTACTTGTTGTTTTGTAGTGTGTGTCTGTTTATTTCAGAATCTGAAGCCTAATGACTTTGTAGGAACTGTTGTCTGTGCTGCTTCTTGGTCGTGATGTCTAGTTCCTTGTGTGCCTTCTCATCTTTAACTGTATACTAATTATTTAAAAATTGTTCTTAATAACAAGTTGAAAACTAGAATGATGTATTTTTTCATGTAGAGATTTTTCAATTTTTCGGCCACATGCCTGTGAACAGTAGTAATTTGTGGGTACAGTATTCTAAGTGTGAAGTTCCTTGGACTCATGAGGGCACACTAAGGCCAGCTGCAGTTCTAGAGAATGGTTTGTTTTATTCCAGTTCACTCACCCTGAGGTTGCATTCCTTTATGGCTTCAACTTAAAATGAGGATGATATATCAACATCCTCTCCCTGGTCTTTGTAGTTTAGTTGTACATTTAATTTCTCGATGCTACCAGAAATATAGCTTAGATAGTTGTGTTTTCCTGGAATGTTAAATGCTTATAAGTAAAAATGGTAATGAGTATTAGTGTTTTGATAATATTTTTTAAAAGACACCCATCCCTAAATGCTACCTAGGCCCAAGTAATTGTGAGCACAAGTCCCAAGAGGATGCATTTTGAGGTACATTATACCTGTGCATTAGATAAATGTGTGCCCTAAGTCTTAACACCCCTCACCCCAAACCAACAACAAACAAAACAACAAATATTAGTAAGTACATGTTGGAATACGGTTTCAAAAAACTCCTAAACTCACACCTATTCTTGCCAGTGGGAAATCCGCAGAATGATGGCCTGTGCCTCACTGCTGCCTTACTTTTCCCTTCCAAATCTCATGCATATGAGTTAGATTGACACATCCAAAATCTCTTCCAGTTGCACTGAGAACCTTAGCTGCAAGGGAATCTGGGAATAGAGTTTTTATCCTATTATCTTCTATAGAATAAGGGAGTATCCTAGAAGGAGTTTAGAATGAAGGTTGAGTACAGTCCTCCATTTTCATATGACTATCTCAAGCATTTTAATCTATGTTATGTGTACAAAACAAAAAAACATTATCCCATTGTAATTATAAAGTATAACTATCAAATAATGAAAATGATTTTTTAATTTACTAATGGTAGAAATTATATAGGTGCATTTTGAGAATAATATAAATATTTATAGAGTTTATATAGGTATTAACTCAGTAGTGGTTAAAACTTATGATACTTCCTTTTGGAATTCCTTATTTTGCCTATATTCTGTTGTGAATGTCATGGGAAGTTACAGAATTTTGCCCTTTTTGAAATTAATTTAATTTTAATTAAAGGTATTTCTTTATAACTAAATTATCTAATTAGATAATTAGCTGTGAAATCATGTTTTTGATTAAAATGGAGACTTTATTATGCCATACGAGAATAATAGCTTGTAATATGAATCTGAAGGCAATTTGAAGTGACAAAACATTTGTATTTTATTCCAGACAAAAGAGGTACTAAATTTGTCTAGTTTGGGTATCAGAACTTATTGAATTAATAACCAGTGTCCTT